CTGATCTCCCCAGCTCACAGGCCCCTTTTCTTCTATTAATCCTATGTGCAACTATACAGCATAAAAGCTGTATTCTTTTCTCAATAAACATTGCTGGCAGCCATCCCAATTCACCCTCAGATCATGTCAGCTCCTCCTTCTCCCCACCCCAAGGGTTCCACATACCCTCTTTGGGACCTGGACACATACCCCCACCCTCCCACTCCCCCACTCCCACCCCCCACACCACCCCCACCGCCAAGCAGTTCTCCAGCACTATCGGGTGTGTAATGATTAATCTTTTTTTTCTTCCAGAAACAGGGTTTCTCTGTGTAGCCCTGGCTATCCTGGAACTCACTCTGCAGACCAGGCTGGCCTCACAAAGATCTGCCTCTGCCTCCCGTAAAGACACAACATGCCCACCCAGCAAGACCTTCTCAAATACATAATCATAAAGAGAAGAACACATGGGAGGCTGGAGACACAGCTCTGTGACTGGTGGGGGAAGCACTGGCCCAGCCTGCAAGAGGCCCTGGGCTTGATCCCAGCGCAGCAGAAGTGGGGGAGGGCGCATGTGACTGTAATCCCTGCACTCCAGAGGGGAAGCAGAGGCTCAGAAGTTCCTCTGGCGCCAGAACTCCCTCAAGGATATCCTGGGCTACATGAGACCCTATCTTAAAGCAGCCAAGGGTGGGGGCGGGGTGAGTTAAGCAAACTTCTGGGGGTATCTGTTTCCTGACAGGATTATTTAAGATGAGAGGACTCAGGCTCAGCCTGGCGATACCACCTGATAGGCATGAGAACAAGGGTATTAGAAAGAGAGGCCCAAGCCTTCAGTCTGCCTTTAATCTGCTGGGAGGCAGAGGCAGGTGGGTCTCTGTGAGTTCAAGGCCAGCCTGGTCTACAGAGCAAGTTCCAGGTAAGAGGCTAGCCACGCAGGAAAGTCTTGGAACACTGCAGAAACAACGCCCTGTGCGGGTGGCCCTTCCTCCAGCGAGTATAGTTTCTGTCGGAGCCTCTGAGACACTCAAAACTCTTGATCCTCCTGTGATTGATTACAGGCGTGCATCGCCATGTCGGCTCCAAGTGCTAATGTTAAGAATAGATGGGAGAGCCGGGCAGTGGTGGCGCACAGCTTTAATCCCAGCACATGGGAGGCAGAGGCAGGCGGATCTCTGTGAGTTTGAGGCCAGCCTGGTCTACAGAGTGAGTTCCAGGACAGCCAAGGCTACACTGAGAAACTCTGTCGAAAAATAAATAAATAAATAAATAAAAGACTAGATGATGGAGATGGGGTGGCTGGGTGGGTAAGGCCGCTTGCTGCCAGGCCCAAGGACCTGTTCCCAGGGACCCATGTGGTAGAAGGAGAGAACCAATTCCCAAAAGTTGGCCTCTGACCTCTACACATCCTATCGCCCCCACCCTGTCACAAATAAATAGTAATTTAAAAAAAAATAAGGTAGCAAGAACAAGATGGTTTAAAGGTACTTGCTGGCTGCCCAAAGATGCAAGTCTGAGGACCCGAGTTCAAATCCAGGAGACCACATAAAGATAGGAAGAGCCCCCACACAATGATAATAATAAAAATAATTTAAAAAAAGGAATAGATGGACACAGTGGGACTTATTCTTGTGATCTCAGAATTTAGGAGATTGAGGCAGGAGGATTACACTGAGTTCAAGACCAACTCGGGTTACAGTATGAAACCTTGTCTCAGAAAAACCTTAGAGGGCTGGGGAGCTGGCTCAGAGGTTAAGAGTGCACACTGTTCTTGCAGAGGACCCAGGCTCAGTTCCTAGCACTCATGTGGTGGCTAGCAACTGTCTGTAACAGATCCAGCAGATGAGAGCGCCATTAATTGGGAAGTGGAGGCAGGAGGATGAGAAATTTAACACCATCCTCAGTTACACAGTGAGTCCAGCCAGTCTGGGCTATCGAAGACTGTCTCCAAAAAACTAAACCTACACAAACGTGCACAAGGCTTGAGATAGACGCTGCCTCTGCTCGGGAATTCCGCTTGTAGTTGAGGCCCAACACCATTAGGTGGCGAGAGTGTCCAGGCCACAGCCCTAGGTACCACAGGGTCAAGCGGTTGGCGTAAGCCCCAGTCTGCGCTTGTTCTTTCTAGGTACCGAGCAGAATGTGGTCCTTGGAACCAGAGTGCCGGGATTTGAAACTCAGCTCCAACGCGTTCCAGCTCTGTGACATCGCACGCGTGACCTGAGCTCTCCGCGTCCCGGCCTGTAGCACGACGGCTAGTATGTCTCAAACCCAGAAAGAACCTGGGGAGGCCAGCCTGGTCTACAAGAGCTAGTTTCAGGACAGGCTTGGACAGACTGCAAAGCTACAAAGAAACCCTGTCTCGAAAAAGAAAGAAAAAAAAAAAAAAAAAAAGAACCTGGTTCGGAGAAAGTCTCTGTCATAGCGTCTGTGTGTCCTGGGTAAACTGCCTCTGGGCCATCACTGGGTCTTAAATCTGGGCACCTCCCAAAGGAAGGAGGTGTGGCTTCCAGACACAAGTCACAAGCAGAGAAACCTACAACTGCAAAACTCCTGACACCCTGGGATTCAAGGTGTAATGGCAATCGTCTCTGTACACCAGGCAGCTGACTGCCGCTCTACGAGTGGGAGGCCTAGTGGCGGAAGCTGAGGAGAGGGTAGAGGGGCTGTAAGGCTGTCCTAAGCACAGCCTGTTTCCACGTCACGTTGCTGAAGAGGAACTCAGAAAATAAAACCCTGTGCTGGGCAGCCAAGACCCAGCCAGTCGGATTCCCGATTTTGTCTTGCCCAGTCTCCAAACAGGTTCCACCGGCTCGGTAGCCGTGAGACAAGGAGGCTACAACCCAATCAAAGCTCAGAGATCCGTTTTCAGCTCCAGCTCTGTCACCGACTTGACTTGCTGTGTGATCTTGAATGAGTCGCTCGCCCTCTCTGAGTTTAAGAATCCCCAGCCTCAAAAGTGGGGTCAATCGCTGGCCTTCCACAGGGTGGTCGGGCTCGGGGGTGGGTGAGTTGACACAATGCCTGGTGAGCAGGCACAGGGCTGCAGAGAAGGCTCAGCAGTAGAGGTGCTTGCCACAGAAGTCTAGAGGCCTAAATTCAATAGGGGGTCCCACCTGGAGGAAGGAGTGTACTGACTGACACCCTCTGACCTCTACACATTCTGCCAACCCCACCCTCACACAAATAAATAGTTGTCTCCTGACCTTCACACATGTAGTGTGCTCCTTGTGCTCAAACACACGTATCATGCATGCCATGCACACATTCAATAATCATCGATAATTTTTAGCCACAATATGATGGTGCACACCTTTAATCCCAGCACCCAGGAGGCAGAGGCAGGTGGATCTCTGTGAGTTCAAAGCCAGCCTGGTCTGTGGAATAAGTTCTAGGACAGCCAGTGATACCATGTCTCAAAAAAAAGTGAATATTATTTTTTTTTTGATTTTTGATTTTTGAGTCAGGGTTTCTCTGTAGTTTTTGGTGCCTGTCCTGAAACTAGCTCTTGTAGACCAGGCTGGCCTCTGTAGAGTGCTGGGATTAAAGGCGTGCGCCACCACCGCCCGGCCTGAAAATAATAATTTTTTAGAAGTTAAAACAGCAAAACCCCAAACTGAGCATGAGGGTACATGCTTGTAATCTCAGTGCTCTAGAGGGAAAGGTCAGAAGCCAAGCCAGGCAGTGGTGGCAAACACCTGTAGTCCCAGCAGAGGCAGGCGGATCTCTATGAGTTCAAGGCCAATCTGGTCTATAGAGCTAGTTCCGGGACAGCCAGGGCAGTTTGAGACGGAGACCCCCTGTCTCAAAACAAACAAACAAACAAACAAAAAGTTGAACGTCACCCTCCACTGTCCAAGGCCACCCTAGGAAACTACTTTCGACTGCCTCAGAGAGAAAGAGAATCAACGCCCCCACCTGCCTCCTTCTCCCTTCTTCCTCCTTCCTCCTCCTTCCTCCCCAAGTCTTTTTACTACATGGAAGAAAGGAGACCTGAAATCTCTCTTCTGCCTGCTCCTCTCCCAGGCCTAACTCGCAGTATCAATTACCAATCCATTATTCATTCATTGATTTATTTATTCCCACGCCTGTTCAGCACTGCCCACACGTCTTTTGTGTCTCGCTGGCATCTGGAAACCCTCAGGGACAGCTGCGCCTGGCTCCTCGCTCTATGAGGCACAAACTCTGGAAGGGAGGAAGCTTTGCTCTGAGGGGGGCTTGGCACAGGGACACTAGAGATGTGGAAAATGTCAGGAAAGCAAAACTTGATGCTCAGAAGCGAGGGCAGGCCCGTTGAGGCAGAGGCACAGAACTGGAGGAAAGGTGGAGGTGGTGCACAGACCTGCGGGAGTGGAGGCAGCAGGATGGGGGCAGGGAACGCACAGGAGGGTGGATCAGGTTGTCTCTGAAAGCAGGTCTGCAATCAGACCGTCTAGAAGGAAGCTGGTCTAATTCAGGAAGCGTGGACATTCCATGTCAGTTCCTGAAACATTTATTTTGAGTTACACAGGGACGGACTGCGTGGGCCTGAGTGGTGGGGTGCTCTCCTTTTCCTTCCAGCGTCTTGGCTGCTAAGGTCTGCGCTCAGCCCCAGCCACGCCTCAGCTCTGCACAGTGCCCCGTGGTCTGTCTTCTCATTCCCCTCTCTCTATTTTTGATTGTTTTGTTTTTGTTTGTTTGTTTTTGGTGTTTTGAGACAGAGTTTCTCTGTGTAACAGCCCTGGCTGTCCTGGAACTCATTCTGTAGGCCAGGCTGGCCTCGAACTCATAGAGATCAACCTGTCTTTGCCTCCAAAGTGCTGGGATTAAACTCATGTGCCACCCTGTTTGAATTTTTTAATTGATTTTTTTTTATTGAACTCTACAATTTTCTCTGCTCCGCTCCCTGCCTCTCCCCTCCCATTCTGCCCTCTCCCAAGGTCCCCATGCTCCCAATTTACTCAAGAGATCTTGTATTTTTCTACTTCCCATGTAGATTAGATCTATGTATGTCTCTCTTAGGGTCCTCATTGTTGTCTAGGAAAAATATAGAATGCTTCTTTTACGTGTCATCCTGGCGCAGCGGCCACGCTAATCTTCTCTGTATTGTTCCAATTTTAGTATATGTGCTGCCGAAGCGAGCACTCCTGTTTGAATTTTCAAGGGTCCCGAGCTGACCTCAAGCTCGCTGGGTGCCCGAGGATGCTGACCTGACCTTCTGACTCTCCAGCCTCTGCTTCCTGAGTCCTGGGCTCCCAAGTCTGCACCACTACACCCAGAGACTGGAAGCTACAGCTGGAGCCCCGGAATCTGAGTGAGTGTGCTAGGCACAAACCCCACTAGCTGAGCAACTCCTCAAAGCCCGCCTGGCCTCCTGACTGGGTCCACAGCTCCTATGAGAGCAGCTGCTTCCCTCTCAGCCTCTGGCCTCTCTATCCTCCTGAATCACAACCTTCTGCCCTGTGAGCATCTCCTCCTGACTCTTAGCACCCTCCAAAGTCTGCCACAAAGGGACAGCGCATGCCTGTCCCATTTTGAAAGTCTGGTGCTGTGGACTCCTCTGGCTTTTTTCTTAAAATTACTGTTGTTGTTGTTGTTATTATTATTATTTTTATTGAGAGAACTCACTGACTTCTCTCTGCCGTCTCAACCCTCACCCTCTGTATTAGGTTTCAAGGGCCAGTCACTTTGCCTCCTTTGGTTCCAGCACCTCACCAGGGAAGTGTAGCCATCATCGCTCTCAGTACGATGCACGGAGCCCTGGGTGTGTCAGTGGCTCCCCTAGGCCCCAGACGTGCCATTTAAACAGCTTGCCACACAAGGCTGAGTCACAGGAGGGTTCACTGGGAGCTAAGTGAACTCTGTCCCACCCACGCGAGCCTCACACCTTTGCCTGGGGCTGATGGGAAACTCAGGGTTGAGGTGTGGAGAACGGGAACTGGGAGGTGCTGAGGCTGGAACAGAGGGTGGGCCTCATCAGCCCCAGGCTACCGTACACCTGTGTACAGGTGCTGGCCTTGCCTAGAAGTTGCCAACCCCTGTGCCATGTGACTAACCAGAACTTCAGCTGGTCTTTCAGCTCCTCTAGCGAAGCTTGCAGGGCAGCTCTGCCCAGAGGGCCCCCCAACCCTCCCTGGAACACCTGGACCATTCACTGAGGGGAGAGGACACTCTCCCACGGGGGCTGGCATCTTTTTGTGGTGGCCTGCTATAAGAAGTCTAGTGATAAAACAGTGCAGCTTGCTGGCCGACCTTCACTTTCCATCCGTCCTGTCTGCTGCGCCAGCTACCTCCAGATCCCCGCCTCTTCAACCTCCCAGTGCCTACTGCAGGCCTCCAGTAACTACTGTGGTTCTTTAGAGATCCTCCAGGCCTGCAGGGCCAAATGGGGACCGCTGAGGCAGGCAGCCTGGTGGATCGGCCTCTCTCACAGCAGCCGGTTTCTACGGTGTTATCCAGCCTAACCAGCCCCTGAAATAGACATTTATTTTGTTGCTCTGCCCCTGACTAATCCGTCTACACCCTTGACTGTCTGCTCTGACCCCAGTGTAGGTTTGCCCTGTGGCCTGCTCGATTGGTGTTGTCTTCCTCCAGGCTCTAACGACCTAGCTTGGAGCCAGTGCTCAGGGAATTCTTGCCAAAGGAAGGAACACTGTACTCGGGCCTTCTTCTGGGTCCCTGAAGTGAACTTCAGAGCTCACAGTGAGGGTTCGCGGCCAGGGGATTCAGGAAGGATAGACACATGCGCATCAGCTCAGGGGTGCAGGAGAGTAGTGCAGTCTGCGGCAAACCCGGAGTCCTCACCGCCTCATTGGAAGTCTAGTGTTCAACATCAGCCTCACCCACTCCGGTCCTGGCCACAGTTCTGTGTTCTCTACAGATCTGTTTTCAGTTTTGGGCACACCACTTCAAGATACACATTCCTCCCCATGTGAACACCCAGCTCTCTCCTGAGCGTGAGTTGGGGGAGGCAGAGGTAGCTGGTTTTTCTGTTTGTTTGTTTTTGTTTTGTTTTTCAAGACAGGGTTTCTCTGTGTAGCCAGAACTCTCTCTGTAGACCAAACTGGCCTCCAACTCACAGAGACTCACCTGCCTCTGCCTCCCCAGTGATGGGATTAGTAGTCAGTTTTGTTCTATTGAAGCCCACCCCCCACCCCGGCTGTCTCATCGCTCAGCGCCTGATTTATCGCAGGCGCCCCACAGACATTGAATGAAACTGCCTTAGACCCCACTCCTGGGGCGGAAGTCTGGCTCCTGGAAGCGTGGACCCAAGTCCCAGAAAGCCTCAGAAAAGGCCTTAAGTCGGCTTTGATGACCGGGAGGGGGCATGAGAAAGAGTGAAGGAGAGAGCTTTCTCTCTTAGGCTAGACCACAGGCTCCTGTTCCGCTGGCATCCACACACACATAGAGGAGGGGTCACCACACCAGGGTTAGACCGCAGGTTCCTGTCCTGCATGCATCCCCACACACATTGGTAGAAGATGGGGGTCATCATGCCAGGGCTAGACGGCAGGTCCTTGTCCTGTGTGCGCCCCTCCCCACATGGATAGAAGAGGGGGTCATTACACCAAGGCTAGACAGAAGTGCCCTGTCCTGAAAGCACCCACACACACATGGGTAGGGGGTCATTACACCAGGGCTAGATAGAAAGGCCCTGTCCTGCATGCACCCCACCCCCGCACACACACAAGGGAAGAGGAGGGGGTCATCACATCAGGGATAGACATAGGCAAGCCTCTATACTGCGTGCACCCACACGTGAGACGCAAGGATTAGGAGCGCGCAGGAACCACGCACCGAGCCTGGGAGCAAGCGGCCGGGCGGGTGCGGCCTCCGGGTACCGCGACGCTGCCACCTGCGCAGCCACCGCGCCGCCATTGGCTCGCGGAGAAGCCGCTCTAATCCGCGCCGCCTCCGCCCCGGCGCGGCGCTGCGCTCCGCGGAGTCTCTGACCTTCCTCCTTCCCGCAGCCCCGGAGAGACGCGCGACGGTCGCGCCGATCTCCTCCTCCCCCGGGAAGCCGTCCGGGCTTGAGGCTGGGCCTCCGCCGCCCGCTTCGCCCCCCGCCGCCGATGGTGTCCGGAGCTCCGGCGCCCAGGTACCGGGTCTAAGCGTGGAGCGAGCGCGGGGTGGAGTGAGGGTGCGGGGAGGCCAGGGCCCGAGTGAGGGATGCAGGTCCCCAGCGTGTGGTGGCGTTGGACGCAGCCGAGGACAGGGACCTGGAGAGAGGTAGGCGCGCACCCGGGGACGCTCCTGGGCTGAACCTAGGCAATGCCAGGATGGCCCTGAACTAGGCCCCTTAGGGATGCCGAAGGGGAGGCTTTTACCCCAAGGAAAGAGGAGGAAATAGGTTTGTTGGGAAACTGGGGCCTGGCCCCGAGTGTTGAGTGTGTTTTTCTGGGACCAGCTGGGATGGGTGGGCCGGTGCCAGCTTGGTGCGTATGTTATTTCTGGACCAGAGTGGGCTGGGGAGAAGCACAGCCAGCGACGTCTGGTTTAGATTACAGGCACTTCCTTCTTTGCTTCCGACCCTTCCCCCAACCAGCTGGGGTGGGTGGTGGGTGGAAGGAGAGAAGAGGTAGTGATGCTCAGGGGCCCCGCAGATGCAGTAGAATCCTCTCTGCGCCACACTGCCCTCCCTCTACCAACCTCAGACCATTTGGTCACGGTTGGGGCGCTCCCCCCCCCATAGTGTTCACCTTTCAGGAGGCTGTGGAAAGGTTAAAGGGTCATTAATGTGTCTGGGACACGGTGGCAAACCCCAGAGCTTGGCTAGACCCAGCTTCAAACCCCAGTTTTTCCCCACCTCCCCTAAGCCCAGCTCTGCAACTTGGGGGGACGTCACACTTGCGGCCACCTTCTTTTTCTAGGCACAACCAGAAATAGCTCCCATTGTCAGGGGCCCTGGCACAGCTGGGGTGCTGATTGCCAATGGTTTGGGAAGCTCTGCCCCCAGCCCGGTTTTCTTACCAGATGTTTGCCTGACTACTCAGATCATCCCCTCCTGAGAGCTTCCTGTGGCCCAGGTGAGAGACCACCTCCCACACCATGTTCCTGGACCCTGTCAGCCTTGAAGTTATTTATGTCTGGTCTGTTGCCCTCTAGACCAAAGTGTCTTCAGGCTAAGAATCTGATTTGTCTCTGTCATTGCTCGGGTGTCTGAGAAGGGCTCATCACTGAAGAAATGTCTGCAGTGCGAATGAATGAATGAATGAATATGTAAATTCTGGGCAATTGCTAGCAAGCTGAAAGATGAAAGGGAGTCCCCTCTGGATTTTCGACCTGCACACCCCGGCCTCCCCCATCCTCCTCTTGTCCGCCCCCCCCCCCCCCCCCCCCCACACACTTCGGGAACCAAAGAGCATGAAGCTCCTCTAGACCTGGGGTTGAGAGGCAGCTGTGATTATTGGAAGGACTTCTGCCCTGCTGGCTCCTGACTGTCTTGTTGGCCCCCTAATGTCCTTGGGGAATCTGGCCCATCATTGAGGGCTTCCCTTTCTTCAAGCCACCGGGCTGGTGATTTCTCCTGTGTTGCTATGCTCAGACCCTCGGTCCTAGCTCTAACAAGACAGCCTATGTCATGCTCCGGGACTGGGTGAGCCCCCAGCAGGCTGTCCTGGGTCTCCTGGCTCTTCCAGGAGCTGTGTGTAAAGGCGACATGGGGTTTTGCAGGGCCTTGCTCCTCTGACAAGGCTGTGCCACCGTGCCCAGTCAGCTGACCCCACCTCATCCCTGCTCAACCCTCCCCTGCTCTGAGACTCTCCGTTCCTCTTCAGAAGCTTCCTTGGCTGCATCCCCACCCCGTCCTGCTCCCCTCTCCTCGGACCCTCTGGTATAACCCTGCTTCAGGTTTTGAGTGACATCTCTCCCTGGGTTATGGAGTCTTCCATGGATACAGGGGTGTGTGCGTGTCCTGGTCCGGTGTCCCCAGGGCCTGACACAGAGGCTTCACTTGTGAAAGCCTGACATGGTGGCTCCACCATGACTTCAGGCAAGGTTCTCCCTCCTCAGGAGATGCCTGCGTCCCCAGCAGGAATGAGGGAGACCTTACTGGAGAAGGGAAACTTGTGTGGGCCAGGAAGGACAGGGAAGGCCATCAGGGAAGGAGTTCACTGATTTGGGCCGTTCCCCCCCCACCCCGCCCCGTGTAACCTAGAGGAGGAGCGGAGAGAATGGGTGTCCTGAGTAGGGCCTGGAACTTACTATGACAAACACGGTCTGCTGAGCCACACCCCATCCCTCCTCCTCCTCCTTCTCCTCTTTCTCCATCTTCTCCTTCTTCTCCTTCACTATTATTCTTAATTCTGAGACAATGGCAATCACAGATAACCCCACAGGCTCCGAACAGCTGGAGGGACTCTCAGAGCTGTGTCCAGTTAGGTCCCAGCATCCTCGGGCACTGCTGCTGGGGACCAGTGTAGGACATCTACAGATGGTACCCTGAGCAGCCAGGACCCTAGATGATGCTCACTGCAAGAAGGGTAGAGGAAGGGTGGAGGTGGGCTGCGGGAGCAGGAGCTGGGATGCCAACGAAGTGAGCGCTGCCAGCTCAGAAGGGGAGGAGATCTGTGGGGCTGGAGAGATGCCTTTGGCCTTCAAACTGGGGTTCCTGAAGGCTGGGAGGACCAGAGGCCGTGGCTACTTTTTAAGCATCACATCGTGTGGAAATGCTGGCGGGAGGGTGGTTTATTAGGTGAGAGCGCTGGCTGCTCTCGCAGAGGACCTCCCTGGGTTTGATTCCCAGTGCCCACATAGCAGGTCAAAACTGCACTTCAATCCCAGAGCATCTGGGACCCTCTTCTGACCTCGTCAGGTGCCAGGCACTCACAGTGCACAGGGGTCCGTGAAGATAAAACACGTATGCACATAGAATAAAACAAATATATAAAAAACTTTGGAAGCTGGCATGGGCTGGGATGGAGCCGTCAGATAAGATGCGGGCACCTGGTTAAGTGGTGAAATCTGAATTTGATCGGGGATGTGGCTCTATATAGTAAAGTGCTGTGTAGCGGGCGCTGAGGCCCTAGGTTAAATCCCAGCACTGGAAAAAAGTTCAGGTAAATAAATTTATTTGTTTATTTGTGTGTGTGTGTGTGTGTGTATGTAAATGCTTTTTAGCATAAACATATACCAAATGTTGCATTATAAACTTGTACCAAAAGGAGGATTTTTCATGGCATCTCAATGACAGAACACGCTTCATGTTCTCCTGCGGCGGTCCTAGACTTCGCCCTAATAGAAGCATCTGGGGCTGTTGTCCTTCGGAGGGTAAAGACGGCTGGCTGCCGACTGAACGCTCACAGGGTAGAAGATAGCGACCTCCACGGCTGTCCTGTGACTCCCACACATCATGGTGGAACACAGTCACACCCCTCCACGATGAATAACTGTAGTGATTTAAACTTGATTTGTCCTTTATTTGAATCTCATTTGCCCTGGTGTCCTTTGGCCTCTCTAGGCTGGTTAGGGATGGAGAGGGAGAGAGGACAGAATCTCCTATTTGCTCTCTTTCTGTCCTGCGGGAGGGCTCCTAGGTGATTATTGGGAATGAACAGAACTAACAGAGTGTGTGTGTGTGTGTGTGTGTGTGTGTGTGTGTGCAACTGTGCAAGCATGGAGGTTAGGGGTTGCCTCGGGCCTCAGGACACCGCCGTCTTCACAGGACACCTTGCTTCAGACAGAGTCCCTTGTTCTGTACTGCTCCACCCGGACTTTCATGGGTTCTTACGTGTTTTGTGTCTCGCTGTAGGAGCACTTGGCATTACAAACACTGCCATGCCCAGCTTGAAGGCTTAGGCCCTGATGGTCACACGGACTCAGACTCAAGGCCTGACGGTCTGGTCACAGGGCGGTTTTGAATTCTGTGTCAGTGAACTGATTCTCTGAACTGCCCAGAGAGTGCTCAGCTGCCTGTTCAAATGGACAAGGGAGGTGGAGCCTCTAAACAGGGTTAATCCAGTGCTGCGCAAATCCTCACAGTAAGCCTTTTCCTGGCGTAGGGTGTGGCGGACAAACCCTCACATCTCTGGGGGATAATGTGCTGGCACCCCTTCTTTTGTCCATCCCACTTTGGGGCAATCCCAAAGTGCAGTTTGAGCAAGGACAGTCTTAGTCTTGGTTGGGCAACGATGGTCAGCTGGCTGTCACCAGGAGGACGTGATGTGATGTGGTCAGACACCCCCAGTGCCAACCGTAGGGGGTTCTTCCTTCTGTCCTCAGTCAGCTGCCCTCTGCTGTGTACCAGGCACAGGTGTCTGGGCACACTGGGGGAAAGGGACAATGTAAAAGAGTGGTTGTTACGTGTGGAGAGGATAGCGCTGTGTATGACTAGGACTTGATTTCTCTTTTAATTTGTTTAACTTTATTTTATGTGCATCGGTGTGAAGGTGTCAGATCCCCACCACTACCCATATTTTCTCTTTCTTTCTTTCTTTCTTTCTTTCTTTCTTTCTTTTTTTTTTTGAAACAAGGTCTCATGTAGCCCAGGCTGACCTCAAATTGACTTTGTAGCCCAGGTTGACTGAACTTCTGATCCTTCTGCTTCCGACTTAGAGCTGGGATTATAGTGTGTGCAGCGTATCTGGGACTGATGATAGATATTTTTGAATGACTTGCTTCGTTGGACTTCCTAGAACAGGTGACCCAGGCCTCAGCCAGTTCTCACAGGGCCCAGAGGAGACCCTTCATCCTCAGCCCCACTCTGCAGCCCCACTCTGCAGCACCTGGGTCTTTCTGGGGGCTCACATGCCATCCATTGTAACATGTGGGGCCGGCTTGTTGGGGTTTCTGTCCAGCCCAGTACCCCAT